CTATATGGTTGATAAAAGAGACTATTTTTGGGGATAAGATTAGTCCCTAAAGGATTAGTTGTTGTTGTTGTTTATATATTGCAGGAAACAACAAAGGAATTACAACTACCAGTACATAGATTAGGACATGGATTAAATGGAGGGTAAGTAAAAAGTATAGGTATTTTTAGAGATAATGAAAGGATGAGGGGTGGATGGGATTTAAATAAAAGTTGCCTGTGTCGATGTAAAAAAATCTCAACACTTTAGTGTGCCGGATTCAGAGATCTATAGGGCTCAATTTGTTGTGTGCATTGAAACATTAGAACAGATGCACGAAATCGGAGGAAAGAGCTGCAGTTAAATAGAAATACATCAATTCCACATATTTGGAATTAACGTTTTTTTACGATAAAAGTTACTGTTTCGCTGAGATAGTTTTTGCTGTATGAGAAATGTGTCTTTCTTCTCTGGAGATATTAGGTGGAGGTTTATTAAGTACTTTATTGTTATGCAACCATAATCTGGATGGAGATACTACATCTATGTTGAGGGCTGTTAAGTCCAGCTGTCCAGGTTTGTATTCGACTTTACTGATGTGTACTTCATTGTTAAAAGTGTCCATGTAAAGAAAGAAGGTTTTACGGACCATATTGCCATTTGTATGTCCATCTGTATAGTACACAAGTACATATTGCTTGACTAGTAGTTTTTTGTACTCGTTTAGGATTATTAGACAGGTTTTAAAAGTGAAGTGACTTTGTCTTACCAGGCGTTCAGTTGTTTTTTGTTCCCTTTCTTATAATATAAAGAAATAAAAATTTTTAATATTAAACAAAAGATATAACCTCCTGTTTCGTCAGGTAGATATGTTCGTCAGAAATTTGTATAAAAACCGTTTAAAAATATAAATATAAGAAGAATTATTAAGGATACCCTCCATTTTTTCAGAGGACTTGTAATTTTGGTTATAAATTCGTACCATTTTTCAATAAGTTGTTGAGTGGTATAACAGAATATACATCCCGTCTGTATTGTTCAGTTTTTATCATCACTCCGTAACTAAAGATTTTTGTCGTTCTTTCGTCAAAAAGAAGTCCTTCTGATGGGGTTTCCTGTACAACGAAAGGTGGCAACATAACGCTTTATTGGGATACTAACTCTTTGAACAATTGACGTTTTGAGTACTCGAAATTGATTATCCGCTGTACAGTTCTAATTTGGTTTTCAAATATTTTTTTTTTTGGCCAAACATTATGGACAAACGATACGAACAACGTAACATACGGAACGTGTTAAAGTGCCCAGATTTTTATTGTCTTGAAATAAAATCTAATAATTGATTGAGACAATAGTTTTCAAATCAGAACCTTTCATTCACATGCCTTTTAAACGACATTTTTTCCACATTCAGGTTAAAAAAATAAATAACAGGTCTTAGCTGTTAACACTTTATAAGTGAGTTCTGAAATACGAGGCAACACGATATCAAAATGTGGCACTGTATCTCTAATCGGAGTAGAGTCGACTTGTATCACAGATTCATTTATGTGTGAAGACAGCCCCTGGCGGTGCAGGTTTTAAAATTTATTGAAGCAATTCATGATCTTTTACGATATAGAGTTTGAAAACGAAACGCATTGTCAAATACAATATAAAGTATCTCATAAATTGTTTCTTATAGAAATGGGGTACGTATTGAAACTCTAACTATGAAGATGATATGTATTAATTTATTAAATTGGTAATGATTATTAATCTCAATAAAGAGCATCTCATAAATCTTTCTCTGAATATGTGAAATAAGTGTTGACATTTGATATCTAAAAAACGTAATAGATAGATGCACACACTAATTGAGAAGTGCACTCTCTCAAATCAAATGCAATATATATTCCGTCCATAAGATATGCTGGGATTCAAAGTATACTTGTATAAAATCATCTGAATAACTTATTATAAGAATTTTACGTAGCTCTTAAGACAGTGGATCATCTAAGAGGTCACAGACACTTTTTAGTAAAATTGCTTTAGACACTATCTCGTCTTTAATCAAGAAAAGAAAAGTAGTGATAGTTTATAATGGTTGATAATTTATTAATTGTAATATTAATTCAAATGTTATATTAAGAGAAGCATTTAGTTTAATTAATAAAGGTCAGTCAAGAATATATCGAATATATATATATTACGATAACTATTATTGTCTTGTTTTCGGATTTACTTCTGACTTTTGTTTTACAATTAAAATGTTTAAGATAAAAAACAGAGTCCGAGCATGATCCAATTTTTCGGAAGCCGCGATTTCATAATGGATGTTGGTCAATTTTACTATTCCAAATAAGTGTTGGTGTTTTGGTCACTTGGATGTATACTGATGTAATTCGGTTCTCGAGATATCGGATGTTAAAGTTGTAAACTTTTTACATTGATTAAACTTATAAAATCACACACTCCATTTAATTGTATGTGGCTATGTAGTTGTTATTGGTGGTGCAATATAAATTTGCAATCTCAAAATGCTATGACTATGGAACTAAGCTATATCGTTATAAAGCACAATGAAAAAAGTTTACACAAAATCTAATTGAATTGACAAATCTGACAGAAATCTAACAGAATTGTCGAATTCTGAGTGCCCGGGAATTTGGAAACCTGTCTCAAATCCTTCTCACTTTCTATAGTAATTTCAAAAGTAATTGTACAAATCTAGATTTGAATAAAACACTGCCTATATCCTGTTAGTAATGATTTGGTTGCTAATTAAATTGGATTAAAATTGAATTAGTAATGCGTTACGAGGACGTTTATATGCAAAGCAAAATGATTTACAAGCAAACATTTATTAATGAGTATAATAGAATATTGCGCTAAAAATACTGTCATCAATTTATTAATTTTAATTATCAGTTCAGCTCATAGCCGTCAGTGTTGTTTTGCCGGACGGGCTGGCCCGTTGGTCAACTCGCACCTTTGTGTTACTATCTTTTACTATTGTTATTGTTTACCGATTTGATTAGCGATATTATTGCATTAAAATTTGATGGGTGCTCTGGCTCTCTTCGGCTTATCTAGTTTGTGTTGAGCTGGAGACAAAAACTGTTGAGTGTTAGCGGACAATGTACGACAAGGTGTGTGATTGGCAATTATCGCTTCTATCTAAAATATTTAAATGAAAGATTCTAAATTTTCGCTGTTATTCGGTTTGTCATTTAAAGTTAAACTCTTGTGTGAAGACGTTATAAAATATTAATTCTTAAACATTGACGCAAAACTGGCAACGAAATAATCATTTCTTTTTAAACATACTACTCTTAAAGCAGTATGATTTATGGTTGGTACATAATATTTTTCATATGCTTTGCTATAATAACAGTAGTAAATGGAGTCATACGACCGAGTGGTTCTTTATATCTTATGGACGATGAAGGTTTCATAACGTATCTGGAAGTACCTAAGAGTTTTGGTACAGTAAAAAATTGTTGGTTTAAATTTCGAGGTAATAAAAATATATATATGTCGTGAAAATACTAATTAAAATGCTTAATAAAATAAAAAATTCAAATAAGCGAAATATGTGTCTTCTCGTTGATTATCACTTTCGCAGATGATGACAAAATAAATATTGAATTAAATGCTACCGCTCCAATAACAACGAGTCGTAATGAGATTGTGCTGCCTTTCTCGTCGACCATTTGCGGTATACGTGTTAATAATATATCAAGTGCATCTGCAGCGGTATGGACGTTAGAAGCTGAAAATATCTATGGTGATTTTGAACAGGACTCAGTTAATGTCCAAATTTTACCTGCACAAAAAACACGTTTCGACACACATATACAGCGTGAACTCGGCAAAGGTAGTATTGCATGTACTAAGCATGACTCCTATACAAAACATTGTAAGATCGTCGATAAACAGAGCAACGAATCATGGAATCAGTGTGAAGTGTATACAACAATACGTCCTAATATATCCTTTGAGTGTTTGACCTATAATTGGGGTCGCATGCAGGAGAGCTATGAACATATTTTTGTTGAAACTAAGGAGCGTACCGTTTATACAACTGCCAGCATGGAGGATAATAACAACACAAGTGTAATATTGCGTTGTCAGTTTTCAGACACTTTGCAATCCTGTCAGGCAGAGATGCCTGATCATAAAAATGAAATATACATAATGGATGGAATGTACAATGGAAGATATTCAACATATGATACATTGTGAGTATAAATATCAAAAAGAATGTCTGTAGTAGATTAGATTAGATTTTAACCGGTTTGGGAACTTGTCACCAAGTCATTGCATCCTTTTAGGGTTATTGTGACAAACCCACTTTAGTTTCATAGACGAGTAACAGTTAAAAACGCTGAGAGAGAGATGTTGCCTAATTTCGTTATAAATGGATAGGCAGTGGATAAGTATCGGACCACATTCTAACAAGTTTCGCTATGGATAGGTCGATGATATTCTAGAAATTGTATTCTTTAACTTGAACTTTATACTTAATCGTACAATTAAAAATATATTTCAGATAATTGAGAAAGACTTCCAGTCTTCTGTTTCTCTACTAAGAATTATCTGAATTAAAAAAAAATCAGAACTACATTACATGTAGTTGTTAGTTAGTAAAGATGATTCCAACTTTTATTTTGATCTAACCATTACAACTGTAAGTAAATAGTATTCTGAGAACTTTTAACCTATTTGCTGACTTTAGATTGAATTTCTCTAATATCTCTAAATAATTTCTCTTATAAAATATTATATGTATATATAAATTTTAGAATATCCAAATCAAGATGTGCTTTAGAAATACCCAAACCATTGGCTGAGGTCGATATGGGACTTTGGCGTGTCATAAATTATAATACTGGCACACCCACAGGATGTTTATTTTATGTAGGTGAAACAAAACAGGATATAATTATGAAAGAAATAGACATGTCTCGTACAATTAAAACATTAAAAATTTATGAACCAATAAGCGATTCTGATAAGACTATCGCAGAAATGTACTGCATGTTACCATTTGTCATAGATGATTGTTACTTACGTGATCCAAATAATACAGTCTACTTTCCGGATTCATTGAAATTTGAAAGAAGCCGCCAGTATGGTAAATGTATTTTTTCGAATGTACCAGCAATTGCAGGAATATGGATTTGTGGAGCACGTGGTCATGACTATGAAAAGGAAGTACTACAAGAAATAGAGGTACTAGCTTTTCTGACAATATTGACTTCTTAATAATATACAATTATTTAATTAATTAATAGGTTATAATGAAGCCTAGAGGTGGTGGTCCAGTTAATGAAGAGATGACAATAAAAAGAAGCAATACTGTTCAGCTTATGTGTAAATCTCCTTTCGAAGAGCCACTAACCCATTGTAGCTTTATAGATCCAAACAGTCACGTGCATTTAGTTGCCACAGTAAATAGCGTTAAAACTGCTGGGTTAGTACTCGTAGTGTTTAAATTTATTATCTATTATAGTTCTATAGAATTATTGTTTGATAGGCATGTACAGTACTCTGGGCGCGGCATTAAATATGGTGATTGTGGTATAAAAATTAAAGAAGTTTCCGCAAATGATTTTGGTCAATGGAAGTGTCAGTTTATAATCGCCAATGGAAAGTTAGAGTCAGCATTTGTTATGCAATTAACGGAACTCCGTAAGCTGCGTTTCAAAAGAATTCTTTAGTGGCTTCAGTTATATTTCATGATCAATATCCGCTGTACAATAATTTCCCCCTTTTTGTTTTTTAGCTATGAAACATGCAACATCTGTGGGCTTAGCGATTGGAGTAACTGTCATTATTCTGCTAGTATTGGGTGTACTTATCGGTACTGTCTTCTACCGTAGAAGAAACTTATCAGCGCAACACAATTTCCCATCGGCCGATCCACTTGATAGTACAAATTCAGTTGTCACTGCTACAACGCAAACTTAACAATTTGTTTATTACTTAATTATTATAAATAATTTATTATTTAGTTGAAATTGTTAAATTTTTTATGAATGTATATGTTGAGTTTTAGAAAATAAAATAAGATGAGATAGAATTGTAATTAAAATTTGTTTATTTTCCAGCTCTGCTTCAATATTTGATTTAAATGACTTTACGTTTATATTTAATTTCGAAACTTCTCACGCTTGCCTAGTCTATATACTCTATAATCGGAACTGCTGAAATTACACCTATATAAGTGTAAAGTTCTTCGCGGCTCTATTAATTATAAATACAAGAAAGCCGCAACACTTTTTGAGTTCCCTGGGCTACGCCAAGTTTAAAATTATTTGTTTCGACAAGCATATTTCGGAAAAGAGGTTAGAATATTCACGTCTATCGTAAGAGCTAACTAAGAGCCATTGATCTTATTGTTTTTTGGAGTAGGGGTAGTAAGTGGGTTTTACTTGCGATACTCGACCAGAGTTGCAAATCTTGAATCATCTTGATGTAGGGAAAGGTAAAATTTTTTTGTTTTAGACATTGGATCTTAAACACTGGATCTTTCGGTGAGCTTCGTGTTGGTTGTGAATGATACCTAATGTATTATTGTATAATAATTTATTTCACAAAATTTAAAATCACGTTTTTAATCGGGTAGTTTGCCCAGTGGTCATGTCCTTATGCATGGCGACTGATTCAAGCGGAACTGATGTGGCCTTGATTGGCACATTATAACATTCCGAGTATTCACAGCATCGTGGTATTAAGTTATTGTTACTATAGTGACCACGTAAATATGTACCTAATTAAACTCTTTTGGTGATATTTTACTCAGCTTTTCATGACTTTATTTGACTATAAGCACCATTTCTTATTATTTAATATTATTTATTATGAGAAACTAAATCCATTCACTCTACTTCAATGAGGTCTCAACAGTTTTCTCCAACATCTGTTTTTACAAATCTTGAATACTTTGAGTCCTAGTATACTGCCTATGATTTTCATATTTCTGTCTCTCTTTTTACTAACTTTATCGCGCTATGGTTTAGATAAATAATCTCTAAATATTAAATCTTAACGCTACTCTTACCTTTCAAAACTCAAATGGGACTATCAGCACTTTGACTTACTATCTGGAAACTTTATTATTTATTCAAGATAGTGATATAAAAGCTAGTTTTAGGTGGTTAAAATCCAACTTGTGTTTTTTGATGCTTGGGTTAGGCTTAGGCCCCAATGCACTGCGACTAGTTTGATCCATTGTGCATCCCTTTGTATTTAGATATTTAGTATCTCGAAGAATCGAACCAGCTGCTTCGGAGGGAGTTTTCGAAGACCTTCATCCTCTGGATGGTATGCACCCAAAATTTTGTTCCTTCTGTTTCTTAGTGCATCATAGTTGGTGATCAGATGTTTCATAGACTCTTCCTCATCACAGTAGAATCTGCAAATACTTACTACTTACTAGAAAAAATCTTTGCTATGAAATTCAATAATTACTGAACCAAACAAAACAGCTTTGTTATCATTATACAAGTATTTCATCACAGAATCCAATCTAATATCATATGAGTATAAGTTAAAATTGTTTGAAAATTAAACAAATTAAATTATTTTTTATACTGGTTGTATATGATTTCAATGCGAAGTGCACATTTCATTAGAATATTTAGACTATTAAAGCATATCTTCAACTAAAATGTCATGGACAAAAAGATACCAACTACATTAATAGAGTTGCACTTCTCAGCATAAGGTTTGGAATTGTTAGGTCTTCATGTGAGTAGATGACGTTCCTATGTTAAGCTGCAAATTATGCGAATTGCATGCACTCCATTAACTTTAAAACATTTCATTTGTTGCTTGCATACTTAAAAGAAGTGTCGTCTCCTGGTTCCAAGTATTGACAATAAAGAAAATGGGCAACATCATTTGCTGTCATTATTATTTGTAACTCGAGCATTGAAGTTGCTTTGTGTGTTGCTATTTTAATGCTGGTATACTTGAGTGCAATGGTTGGAATATTTAAATTGGTGTACTAACCTTTATGACTGACAATGTAACTGCTGCTCCACGTTTTTATTGGTCTGGTTTTGTCTGCACTGAACTGAATTGATATGATAACATCCTTTTGCACCTGTCGCAGGTACATCTTACTTATATATTTAATGGAGTTTGGAATCGTTTGTATATGATAATGTAAAATTAAAGTTTTTTTTTGTAATTACTTTGATATTGTTTAGAGTTATAAAAATGAGAATAATGGAGAATATATTAGAATGAACTAAAAATAAATATTTTTTAATACATTTATGCAGTTTATGTCAAACTTAATAGTACTTCAATGTACTATTGTATTATCGATACTCCTCCTAGAAGTTAAAGGAATTTATATATATATGTAATGATACTTCAATAAGAAACGTGAATTTAACTCAAAATGTAGAATATAAATAAGAACGAATTTATATCCATTTACAAAGAAACTTCATAAATTGGAAAGTATATAGGCGTTAGATTATAGCTAATCATTTTTGTTGTACATTCGTAAAGAAGACTAGAACTAACTTTTGAATTGATTAATGAAAAGGTGTTTCTATTCTTCCTACAACAATTTATTCCATAAATTAATATAATTTTAAAGATAATAAAAATAAATTTTACTGAAATTTAAATTAATTTAAAAAAAAATGATGAGATTCCCAAGTAGTAAACCTTTTTATATCAAATCTGCCGCCTTATTACTGAAATGAATTACTCTTCTCTCATTTGCCACTCGGATAGAGTGTGGAGATAGAGTGGTTAGATATCTCATTTATAAGAAACAATTTTATTGGGTTAAAACGGTTCTATTGCCACTAGGAAAAAAAATGATACATTCTTCTGGTCCAAAGCACGCAAACGATCATTTAAACTAATCACTTAGTTTAATAGGGATCCTTATTATTCTTGTTTATTCTTGTCTGCATTATTCGAAAGTGAAATGAAGTTTATTACCAATTGTTTTACTGATGTTGTTGTAGTTTTTATTATTGTTTTTATTGTTGTTGTAATCTATAACTATATGTACGCCTAAGTGTGAACATAAGTAAATATCAACTTTCTTTTCATATAAAAAAAGGTTCTATTTTTAACATACACTAATTGTATTACGACCAACAGTTGCATTACCGAAAATTACTAATGGTGTTACTAAGAAACTTTTAAATTTGAAGATCATAAGTTAAGTTTAGACTGACTGGGCGCTAGATCTATTCCTAGCGAGACCAAATTGATTTTATAGCAGGCCATGTATAGACGTACTGTTGGACACCAAATACCAAATAGAATAGAACTTCTATCTAGTTTTTTTAGTAGCTTAAGTTAGTTTAAGCTATGTGGGGGTAATATCTATTGGTTCGTAGCGATACCAAATATAATTGAACTTTTATATAGTTTTTATAGTAGAAATTTTTGCGAATTTAAGAAATACTTGAAGTTCTCTTTTTGAGTCAGAGTTACCAACCAATTCTTTTAAGATCTTCTTAACGTATTTTTAGACCAGAATTTAGTGTTAGTACACACGCTTTCCGCTTCTGGTACTGACAGTATTGAAATTAATTAATTCATGTAATAAAGTTTATATTAAATTTGATTTTTAAAGTCATTCATGACGAAAGAAACCATATTTCTTAATATAAACTATTGTTTTAATATAGAGGTATTTCGAATTGTAGTAAATTACAACAAATTTTTTTTTATTTAAAATTAATTGAAGGACAGTTTTGGATACTGGACACTGACTCTGAGCTTCAAATTTGGCAAGGCAAGAGTTCAATCCTTGGTACTTAGACTCTCAAAAAATTAACTACAAAAAATTTTGGTAATACTCTAACTAGCTGTATGTGGTCAGCCAAAAATTCGCAATTATTTAATAAATAATAAAATGTTGGTGTTCAAAATACTTCTCTAAAAATGTTTATACGTACAATACGTCAATTATCAAATCAATTTTGTCGTCTCCATTTTTAAATAAGAACATATTATTTTGACTATAAAAATTTCCCTTTTTATTATAATTAATCGAAGATAATAGAAATTTGATCAATCGGTGACACTGTACATTCACTGTATTTAAATTCACAATTACCTCCCGACCGCCCCAATATTTCCGCTTTCAAATAATCTTTATCGCTGGCTGTTCGAAAATCATCACGTGACGTTGACGGTCTAAATGAGTGCCAAAAAGCAACAAAAAAATTAAAAAAAAATTAATATTTATTCAGGTGGAAATCGCAAATTACGTACGTTAAAACAATGTGCAAAATTTCCGCCAACATACCGCTTTCATAGTGCAACGGCACAGATGCGTGCTCGCAAATGCTGCGCATTAGACATATGTGACCGGGTAAGCCAGACCTGTAAGTGGGAGCAAATAAAAAGTTGCTGATTAATTTTATGGCTACTTCTATTGTGCATTGGAATTGCATATATTTTGCATAAGTACTGAGGCTGTAACAATATATTTAAGTACTAAATGCAAGAACAAAAGCAATGCAAACTGCAAGCAGACAGCATTGTCCGCCGTATTCATAGCTTTTTTCTCGTAATTTTACTATTAACGTTTATTTACATTTCACATACCGGTTCAGTATTATTTCGATGGCTTTGTATATGATCCACCTATATATGGACGCATTTCTGTGTTGACTTTTGAAATTATCACCGAAATTGGAGCTCTCATTACCGTTCACAGTCCACATTTGAGTGCTTTGCGAGTGGGCCAACTCAAGTGCGTCTTGCGTGAGTGTGAGTGTCTCATTGGTGCTGCGGCGATGTATCGATTGCGGTTTTAAGTAATAGGGTCGAATTTCTTGAGCTTTTGTTGGTAGAAAGTATTCTACCTTCAATACATAACCCGATGTTACTGACTCAAAATGCAAATCCTCCACTGGAATGCCGATGCCGCCAATAAACTAAAAGCAATCATTATGCAAATGTTAATAAAAAAATAGCCAACGGCTTCGTTTTATATGAACTTTTTACTATTTTAATAATTTTCTCAATTTTCTCAATTTTCACAATTTTCACAATTTTCACAATTTTCACGATTTTTACAATTTTCAGAATTTTCAGAATTTTCAGAATTTTTGCAATCAAAATTTTGTTTGTTAATTTTGCATTCGTCCATAAAGCAAAGCAGAGCACTAAAATTTTATATAAATTTTTTGTTTGTTAAAACTCATTTCACTTAAAAATGATTAAGCGATTTTTTATACTACTTTTTAGTATTCTCATTGCAGTTCTTACTTGTACGCGAGTTGGTGCAGTTGGCGGAAATAGCAGGGTTCTGGCTTGTTCCTTCGCCTTTCTTCGATGCTTGGTTTCCATATCTGATTTAATTGTCTGTAGAAATATCAGCGTTAAAATTGTTATGAGCCAAAAGTCAAAAGTTAATTCCATTTATCTCCGTTCAATAGAGTGAGATGTTTTTGTGGTAACAAATGGTTGGCAACTGAACCCAATAACTGATAACTGGGAGCAACAATTGGAGCAACTGATGAACTAACATAAATTGTTTGGCTCTCAGCAGTAGTCTTGAGTTGTCTGCATAATAATTCGTATGAAAAATAAGGTGGAAAGTATTTGAAAGATACTTTTTTACGCACAAAATCAATTAGCATCGATTAGTGTGGAATTACTACAATTTCGTTTTCATTGTCGTTATAAGTATCTTAAAATTGAATTTGGGTAAATGGATTAGATTCTAATGCAAATATTAAGTTTAAGCTTGTTTACCTCATGAATTTATAATTTATGTGGGAAGATAGTTTATAGTATTGTGATAAATATATATACTTGTTTGTGTTTAAAATTGTTTAATATGGCATACGTGATTTAAGAAAACATTAAGTATTTAAATTTAATGGATATGAGTTGCAAATTAATTTGAGAAGACAGTTTAGAATTTAATGTTTTCAATTTCAAAATCTAATGGGTATGTGATTAGAGCTGGATAGCCGAGACCTAATACACACCAGATAGTTTGATTTATTGAATAAGTGTTTCAGAAAAGTAAACTTAGATTATGGTTTGGAATTTAATCTGGTTTGGAATTTCAAAATCTGATGAGTGGGTAATTAGAGCTGGCTAGCCAAGATCTAATACAAACCAGATACATTGATTTAAGAAAAAATGTGCTGGCAAAAAGAAATTGAGAATATGATCTTCAATTTAATAAGTTTTATTTCTAGTCGAGATCTAATACAAACCAGATTGATAGCCTTAACATATATAAGTTGCTAAAAAATAATTTCAGAATATGCTTTTGTACTTATTGCTTTTTATTGCAATATCTAATGAATGGGTAATTAGTGCTGGCTAACCGAGACCTAACTCAGACTAAATATATTGATTTAAGGGAAATGAGTTAGCAAATAAAACAAAAAATTGAGAATATGATCTT